GGATATGAATTCCTGTGGTACTTATAGGATTCCTTGCCAGTGTGGTTTAATTTACATTGGCCAAACTAAGAGAGCCTTAAAATTTCGCATCAAAGAACATGAGGCATATGTTAGAAAAAAGGAAACACAGAGGTCTTCTGTTGCTCAACATTGTTGGTCCGAAAATCGCACTTTCAATTTTTCTGCTGCCAAAATTATTCAAAAAACATCTTCCATGGAGAACTGGATTTTCTAGAGGCATTTCACATTCATAAAAATCTTTCTGTTCTAGTTAACGATCCTAATTCCAATCCAAATTTTGCCTTCGGCTTTTAGAGAAATTATGTTTTAGTTCTGGTTTTGCCAACAGATGGCGCCACTTGCTTATTCTTGTCCAGGCTTTCTTATCTTATCTAATCATTATTTCCTATCTTGTTCATTTGCGGTTTTGCAACTGAAGATGATGGTTCGGTAAAACCATCGAAACTAGTCCTGTGAAATAGGTATAACGCTGATTTTTGTTGTTTGACTTCTGAATTAGTATTTATTCGCGTGTTATTGTGTCTTAATTATAGAAGCCCCAAACAGGCTTACATTTTGCTTTCTTTTTTGCACGTGGTGTGGCCGCCATTTTGTGATTGTAGGAGTTTCGGTGAGTACTTTTTGCAATTTTTCAAGTTATGTTTATGTTTTGTACATTTGGATATTGTGCTTTGCTTGTCTGATTTCATGCATTTTGCTTACAAACGTTTTGTTTTCTATTCATTTCAGTGAGGGATTTTTCTGCTGTTTTGTGTGTACTTTATTATTGCTCAGTTAATTTAGTTTGATTTTCTGCATTGTTTATCATGCCTTCATCCGTTAATCGTTTCACTAAACTACGCCTGAAACGGCAAAAAAATTCCTGAATCATTTGACTTTTTACTTAAATGTAAATGTAAAAAAATTGATCCCCAATTTTATTCAAATCAAATCTAATCAAAAACTTTCGAGTCGGTGTTTCAAGAACAAGAATTCTGTTAAATTGCAAGCTTGCCTTACTTCGGTCCGTGATAAGGGATACACACGTCAACAATTGTCCAAAGTTGAACATGAACTCTATAAGCTTCATCTGGAACTCGCTAAATCATATCCAAAATTCACTGGCCTTGAGCAAAAGTCTTGGTCTAGAAACGGAGAAATGCAGTTAACCGTCATAAAAACACCCTTGCAGTTAAATTCGAAAAACTTCTTTTACAGTCTTCCAGTAGTAGTTCAAAAAAATCTTCCCATTGTAAACATCAAGCCAATAGTTAATATTTCTAATGTTAGTCTTTCAGAAGAACAAGAGAGAATTCTAAAATATAATTTTAACTTCTCACAAAACCTGTAAACACTCGATTCCAAAGATTTTGGCTCCTATCGAAAAAAGCTTTCAAGTTCAGTAAAGTTTCAGATTCACAGAAAGAAATGATTAGGCATCTTATCGCTCATAATGTGAAATTCAATAATAAACCTTTGAAACCAAATCTAACTGCGAGAAAGAGCTACAATGTGCGAAATTCATTCTAACCCGGATATTATCATTTCAAAGGGCCGACAAAGGTGGCCAGATAGTCGTCATGGATAAGAAACACTTACATCGATGGTGTCACTAAACTCTTAAACGAAGGACCATATAATCCGATCCCTAAAGATCCTTCACCTTCGGACTTATCCAAAAATAAAAAACTGCGGTCAAATCTTCGCAAATCATTTCAAGCAACTTAAAACATTCGCTTATCCCATCTGTTGCGAATTGTGCCAGATTATATGCTCTTCCCAAAATTCATAACAGTGGTATTCCTTTCCGCCCTATTGTATCAAATTTAGGTACTGGCTCGTATCCTTAGCTAAATATTTAGTTTTTCTAGATTTTCCACTCTATTAGACAATAACATTTACACCATAAAAAATTCAATAGAGTTTGTAAAAAAGGTTAAAACATTTCTCCTAGTAAATTTACTCATGGTTTCTTTTGATGTAAAATCATTATTCACCAATGTCCCAGTGGAGGGTGCATTAAGATGTCTAGAAACCAGACTTCGCGAATTTCATTTCTCTTGCATCGAAATTGATGAGCTAATTTCTCTCACTCAACTCTGTTTGAAACAAACACATTTTGTTTTCCAAAATAAATATTACAAGCAAACTGAGGGATAGGCCATGGAAAGTCCCCTCAGTCCCATCCTGGCTGATATCTACATGCATTATATGAATCAAAATTGTTTGAAACCTTTAAACTTCCCGGCATGGTTCCGCTACGTAGACGATACTTTTACCCTGTTTGAAGGTAATAAAGATGATTTAAATAAAGTTCTTTCAACAATGAATTCTATTGACCCTGCTATTCAGTTCACTTTTGAACTTGAGACTTGCAATTCTCTTCCGTTTCTCGACATTCTGGTCACACGTAACACATCCAACTTCAGTACTACAGTTTACCGTAAACCTTCATCGGTTTGCCTTCCACCACACTTTAAATCATGTCATCCGACTAAACAAAAGTTAGCTTCATTTTATTCCTATGTTTTCCGTGCTCTTCAAGTTTGCTCCTCCAAACTAGCCCTTGATGAAGAACTAAATTATTTAAAAGCAATAGCTATTGACAGGGGCTTTTCACCCAACATTATTAATCAAGCAGTTAAAAAAATTCTCATCTCAACACACTAAAAGCCACACTCTTAGTTTTAGGAGATTATAAAAAATTCTGTTGTCATTCGCTTTCTTTCCATCAATTAGCTATAAAGTTGCACATATTTTGCAGAAATTTAACTTTCGGGTTGTTTTTTTTTCTCCCATCAATAAAATTCAAACTTCTATACTCAAGGACCCCATTCCGGATATGAATTCCTGGGGTATTTATAGGATTCCTTGCCAGTGTGGTTTAATTTACATTGGCCAAACTAAGAGAGCCTTAAAATTTCGCGTCAAAGAACATGAGGCATATGTTAGAAAAAAGGAAACACAGAGGTCTTCTGTTGCTCAACGTTGTTGGTCCAAAAATCACACTTTCAATTTTTCTGCTGCCAAAATTATTCAAAAAATATCTTCCATTGGAGAACTGGATTTTCTAGAGGCATTTCACATTCATAAAAATCTTTCTGTTCTAGTTAATGATCCTAATTCCAATCCAAATTTGCCTTCGGCTTTTAGAGAAATTATGTTTTAGTTCTGATTTCGCCAACAGATGGCGCCACTTGCTTATTCTTGCCCAGGCTTTCTTATCTTATCTAATCATTATTTCCTATCTTGTTCATTTGCGGTTTTGCAGGTGAAGATGATGGTTCGGTAAAACCATCGAAACTAGTCCTGTGAAAATTTTGTAGGTATAACGCTGATTTTTGTTGTTTGACTTCTGAATTAATATTAGAATAATTACACATTAAAGGCTACAAAACATTTATGTTTTGTAACAACAACACTCAACAAAATATTTATCCATCATTTTAATTTGAAGCCTTCCCAAACATTTTGACTAGTTTATACCGATTTCCTTCTCTTTAAGCATCTTTTCTAACAATAATTAGAGATTTGTCTCAATATGCAAACCAATGCTATTGCTAGTTTCTGCGTGCTTTATCTCCTAATTTGTCAACCTTTCATAAATTGTATGATGCATTAAAACATAATAGATGGAGCTTTTAAATTGTAAGTTTTCAATTTCTTTATTAATAAAAAAATCCCTTTCTATAATGTCTGCCCAAGTAATACGATTAGAAGCAGTTTTGATATTTTCCATGCTTGTGTCTAGTGAAAAGTAGAGAAAATAAAGAGAAGATAAACATGTTAAGAAAAAGATTCTAGTATCAGGAAGTAAAACACTTTAAATATTAATGTTTTCATTGTTCTTCCTGACGTTCTTCCAAAATGTAAGAAATTCATCGCAAACTTTCTGTAAAATACATCTATTATATGTTGAATACCATGGAGACATTTTTCACTTTGTCACATATTTCTCGAATCTTCTAGAACCGTGGGTCTATAAATCTTGCCTTCAAATCCTTCTAAATTTTCCAAGCTGCAATGTCAAAAATACTAAAGAAAAATTATCCAAACCAATTCTGTAACAGCAAAAGCCAGTAATATTTTGGAAAAAAAGGGAGGCGAAAAGCGTAAAATTACTTTTATAGATAAAACTGATGCATATTCTGAGAATTTTAAATATTCTGAAACAATTAATTACATGGGAAAAATGCTTACTATGAAAAAATTAAAAAGAAGATATTTTTAATTAATTACATAGCTAATTTTGCTTTTGCTAAGAGTTGTTTCGTAAATTGTGCTTTATAGCATTATACCTTGTTTATTTTTCAGATTCAAAACATTGTATAATAAGTTGCCAAAATGAAACTTTATAATATGACAGCGGAAAATAAAAATGTTCTATTTTAATGTTATTTTTTAAATATAATTCCGATATATTACCATTATTTTAATGAAATTTATCAAAATTATGATGTTTTTAAAAAAAATCATCGAAAAATTCTGATTTTGGAATTAAAAATTTTCTACAGAAACTGGTCTTAAAATCGCCAAAATGTTGACAAGTGACCAAATTTAGAACCGTTTAATAAAAGAATTCACATTCCCAAAAGCGAAAATTGTTTAAGAGCTCTTTATTACAAAAAATGAATTTCGAAATGCTTATGCTTCACTTCTTGCTTAGAAACTCGAGTATCCCGTCATTTATACTAAAAATAAAAACAAATTAAAACCCATAAACCTATTCAAAAGATAACAAATAAATGTCAGTGAATCGCCAAAAATATTCCTCCAAAATGCTAATTCACACTCAAAATGGCAGTCGTAAAAACAGACAGAAATTTCAGATGATTAAAATTAAGGACCTTCTACTGATTTTGGACAAAATGAAGGACTTTTAAGGACCAAAAATCGATTCCAAAAAATTTAAGGACTTTTAAGGACTCTTAAGGATGGTACGAACCCTGATCAAATATCACTTTTAAATACAGTAATTAATTTAAAAAAATCATACATACCTTCCGCACTGCCAGTCATCAGCACTAAACAAGCCTCTGCTTTTCTCAGCTGCTGCTTTTCCAATTTCGTGCCCAAGTTTCTTCCTTTGTGGTATTGCAGTTTTTTCTAGGAAAGATAAAATACAAGTACACTTAATAATACAAAGTCTGAGACTTGGAACTGTCAGAACTTCGATGATTCTGTCAATTCCTAGATTTTAGAGCATCAGTTTAAATACAGTAAGAGGAGGTGTAGAAATTATAAAATTAAGAATATTCTATAGTAATAAACATATTCTTTAAAATTAAGAATATGTTTATTACTATTTCTTTAAGAAAGAGTTATTTTGCATAAACAAAGTTTTTATACTGAAACACCACCGCATTAAATTAAACTGTACAAAGATGGCAACATTTTTTGAATTTATAAATATACTATATATATTAGCTGGTCCTTTAATTAAATGATGGGTGAAGCATAGCTAAATAAAATCAGTTATATCATTTTCATTAACCCTTTCTTCTCATATATCATTAATCAGAAAATTTTGCTTTTAACTCATAATATCTGAAAACCTTCTGATTCGCAACTTTCATCAGAATCATGAAACTTGGAAACTGGATATAAATTGTGCTAAATACTTGCGAACTTGTCCTCTTAACCCTTTGTGGTGCACTACTCTTTAAAGTCGGTATTTCAACAAGAAAAGTTGTATGCAGTCTATCTAGGCCTGAAGGAGTATACAAATAAAATTTTGTAAAAATTGCACTTACTGTTTCAATTCTGTGGGTGTTCCATGAGGTGGAAAACTGTGCCACCAGAGTTCTTAAAAGTGCGACTAAGCGAGCATTGCAGTAAAGCATGGAAATGAGTAGAAGCTTTAGTATAGTAATGAAAAAACTCTGTATTATAGCTGTATACATGGTTTTCTGGATATACACAACTTTCTTGAATATATATGGATAAATGAGATAAATATATGTATATAGACAAGTCCTATATGCAAAAATATTTACAAATTTTTTGATTTCATAGCTTCGTGAAATTTTCAAAGCATGTCACATCTTTTTGATAGAAGCATAAACCAACTTTGCAGGGTTTGAACAAAAAACTTGTTTTGTGCGGCTTCTGTTCCGTGCAACAATATGTTTAGAATTCCAAGTAAAAAGAAAGAAAAAGAAACTCTTTCCGGAGAGGAAAGAGTTTGTTTTCCTGCCATTTATGGAAAATTAATAATAAAAAAATAACTGCAATTAATATTAACAATAAAAAAATAAGCTATAAGATATACATACACAAAAAATATCTACACAATTATTGTAAATAAACGGGAATGAGACTAAAAAGCGATAGCAAAATAATTCGCGCAGCTTCCCTAAGTAAAGATGACTCAAGCTACTGATAAAATTCCCGCCTGAAAACTACTCAAAAAAAAAAATGTCAAGATGCCCATATTTAGGACTTTCATAGCACAAACCACACCTCACACCTCAAGACTGCTTTGTTTGAATTCATTCCCCCAAAAAACAACATAAATAGAAAACATATACAACAGATGTTTTTTCCTAAGACAGATGTTCTGATGCGTAATAGCATGAGGTCACTAAAGGCGCAGTGTTCTCGCTAATGGAACACCCCATTTTATTCAATGATTCTGCGCATGCTTTTTGTACGAAAAATGTAAAAAAATATATAACAAATAATATACACAACCACAAAATTATATGGAATTTTTTTTTCAAACAAATTTTTTTTTGTGTCACAAAAAAATATAGAAAATTACTAGAAAAAACGTGGATTTTAATAACACATCATAAATGAAAATTCTGGGTCTCCTTGTGACATGCTGTCATCGAATATTTAAAAAGAGACGTTTGAAGTATATTATAAAGGCATTTTTATCCATTTATGATTGAATTTAACTGTTTCAGAAGAAATTCAATTTGGGTGTTCCATGTAATGGAACACTAAGCAACAAAGTTTTAAGACAATACAGATCACACATCTAATTTTATATTAAAATATTTCTAGAATTATTGGATCATCTTACTGTGCTGTATTGGTTTTTAAAAAGCTAATTTATATCTGCATTTCAGTTACCACTAAATTCCGATATCCATTGGCTGATTTACACATGTAGAGTTTCAATGCAAAAGTAAAATGGAGAAGTTATTTACTAAAACTGTCAGTTAGATAAGATATATAATAATAGATAGATTAAAATAATGAACTGCTTCAAATTAAAAAGTCAAAGAAGAGCACAATTTCCTACGTTAACTGAAATTAAGTTTCTCTCTTCTTCACTGCTACGCATTAAAAAAAAAAAAAAAAAAAACACTGAAATGTTTCAGATTTTAAATTACGTCCAAAGGGGCGTTTTTTAACATTTTGTGTGTTACCTTTCTTTATTAAATATCATGTTCCTCGCACTTAAACCATAAGATCCAGTGCAACAGCAATATCGCAAAATAGTTTTAAAACGAGCATATCTTTAGAATTTCCGATACAGAGACTCACGCGCTGGAAAAAAAAATGTTTTTTTCTGCACAACGTTGCCATTGCTCGCTTTGAAATCCTTGAGTTTGTTAATCAAAAATTCGTCAAAGTTTTAAAAAATAGGAAATCGATCATAAAACAAATTTCAAATTTCAAATTTGGTCTTCCACATGCTCATATTCGTTGGAGGATTACGTTATTCAAAATTCGATGACTCTATGTACCGTTGTTTTATCACAATACGAGAAATATACATACATTTATGCAGATTTTTCATTATTTAATTTCTTCAAATATAATGCAGGACTCTAACATTTTGTGGCAACAGTTTGAAAAGTGAACCGACATTTATGAGTCCGACGCAAAATGCCAAAACGAAACTAATAGTCCTTTCCTTCGGGTCGGGATTCAAATCCCTTTGGACTAAAAAAAAAAAAAAAAAAGTAGCATGTCTTGGTTCTTCACTTATTATTTAGGTTCAATGGAAAAAATGCTAACCCTACCAACAACCACTAAAAGGCTAAAAGTGTGGTCGAGGCTAACATCAATCAATGTACTGTGATGCGCCACGGTATGATAGCCTAGGCAGTAAGTGTTCGAAAGAGACATACAGGTATCTCAGTTAGTCAGAAGAAAAGTCGCTCTTATCTCTCTTCCTTTTTCTGAGAAACGCGCAAAAATTTTTAAAGGAAATTTTTTTGCTTGCAGTATGGATATTGATTGGGGAATATAAATTTTGGACTTTGTACTGTATACGAACGTATACCACAAATGAAAATTTAAAAAAGTTTTTATGGTTTAAAGGCTCGTGCTGAAAAAATATATAGCAAAACTTGTTTTCGTATGTGGTAGGGACAATGGAAACTTTACAGATCTTGGCAAACACTTTGCAGCGGCAGCGCCAAACAGACGACACAGACTCAAAAACTCTAGAGAAAACCTCTAATTGGTGAAAGAGGAAACAAACACAGTAAACCTGTTTGGCAACCCAATGGGCTGACAGGATGAGACGAGTTTTCTCCGACAGTTCAGAGTAATGACATCAGTCTGTGTAATTATTTTCAGTCTCGTGCCTTCAACGTGATATGTAAACTTCGGCACCCATGTCTGTGTTGGGACTGTACTCTTTCTTAAGCCTTTATTATGTGTCTATGTTACTTCTCGTTATTAAATCTCATTCTTAATGATATATGACTATCTCAATTACAATTGCTGCTTTTCTAAGTACTGTTATCTATACTTTTGTAGGCACGTGTTACTCGCGCTTACCTCAACTTCTACAGAGTCTCCAAATTTTGACAGATTATAAAGGTGTCATGGAATGCGAACGAAATAAGAATTAAGGATGGATTTTTTTTTAAAAATCTAACTGTAATCAGCTAATATATGTTAATTACATATTAGAACAAAGCATACGTTCAATTTTATTATGGGATAGCAATTTCTCTTTCGAGTTTAAACACTGAACAGCTAAAATCTATTCTCATAGCCATGTATGTCTGTAGAATAGCAAATCAATGAGATAAAATTTGAAATTTGATGATTTGGTTAAACGTTTTAAAGATTATTGCCATGACAAAGTGCATTAAATCATTAGAATTCAGTTATATAATGTGATAAAATTATACAGTACTAAGTCCGTAATCCGGACTCATCAGGACTTCAGCGATTCCAGATTAGGGGTTTTTCAGGATTATACATCATCAATTTAAATCTGGTAAGATGGCATGCAGAAATTATACAACTAAAAATATGAAACCGTAACTTAAAAAATAAACAGCAATTATGATTTAAAGGGTATCAAAATTTACAAAAGGAAAAGCTTAATATTTGTTTACTTTATTAAACATTTCTTTCAATGCAAGTTGTTTAAGTTGCTTCGTTTTTTGTGCTGATACTTTCTCTTTAATTCTATAAACAGACATAATTTCTTGTTCAGTTACAAAGTTCCACTGTTCAAGTCCTGTGATTGCTGTGTCGAGAATACCGACTAACTTGTCAATCGAAATTGTTCGTTTTTAATAACCTCTCTGTCACTTTCTTCACTATCGGAAAAGCGCATAGGTAAATGCTTTACGCTCGCATTAAACGTGCATGCGTAAATGCATTGCGCGCATGCATAAATTTGTGGCTTTGAGGTCCGGATTATAGATCATTCCGGATAATGGACGTCCGGATTACAGACTTTGTACTGTATAATACCAAAATCAACAATTATATAATATTAAACAAGAAATCTGCTTGTTTACAGATTTTCACATGAAGATGTAAAATAAACTAAGAAACTTGTATGAAAATTATTTAAGAATGGCTGAACGAATTCATTAAATATACTTTTCCTAACGAATGCATGATATATATGTAGTGGATTTAAACAATAAAGGTAGTATAATAATAGTCACTGCAATTTCATTTACAAGTGAAGGTACATATATATCAAACATGAATTTTTACTGAAATTCAACAGCTGTGGTGGGCAATTATATTTTAGCTTATTTGTATTGGTGTGCAAGTATTTAATATTGTAAAAATATTTTTATATACATGTTAATAATTTGTATTTTAATGATATATATTATATACTTAAAATATGTATCTAATCACTCTTTCAAAACTGAATCATAATTTTATGCAGATACACTAGATTGCTACGGTAGCCAAACTCAATAATTACTACTATAGGTATGCTTATTTATACAAGCGGTTTGCAAATTGCAGTAAATGAATAACAAAATACCAGAAGGAGCAGCAAATGGCTAAATAATAAATTTAATTTTGGCTCATAATAGTTATAGTCAATGGTAAACATACGTATATAATTAAGATATTTCCAATCCATGGTGTAACATAGTCTCAATTCATATTTAACATATTCTCAATTCATAGTTCAATGTATCCATAATTTATGGTTAAACATATTCTTGATTCATGGTTCAACGTATTGTCAATTCATAGTTCAACATATTACCAAATAACAGATCAATGTTTCACCATCTTTTGGTTGCTACTTTTTCAATACCATGATTTGGCGAAACCTTTGACCAATTCAATTTTTAATAGTATACAAACCTGTATATAATCAGAAATATAAAACACCAAGACTATAATTTTTATTGCCTAAACCACTTTTCCAGATAAAAAGATCATTAATCAATTAAAACTAGAATATTAGTTAAATAAACATTTAACTGCATTACAATATAATAGCACACTGAGCAGCATGACTTTTTGGATCTGCTCATGAAGATCAATATTTAAACTGCTTTTATTAGCTAAATTTTTACAATTACTTTAATCTCTATTTTCATAAACTTTCATTTATTAAGATGATATTTATATTATTAAAGGAAGTACGAAAACAGAATATTTTGAATTATTATCTAATACATATCAAGTTAAAAAACATTTCATGGGGATTCTCAGATAATAGGCAGTTGGCGAGGTTCCTGAAATCACGTTCGCCAACTTGGGTAATAGGTGCCAAACAGTAGGGATTGCCATATCCTCTGAAGGAATTTTTTTAAGCCAAAAGGGAAATGGCATCGAAAGAAGCTTTCCAAAAATTCCCTTGTCAGCCCAATATCAGGGAAAAATTGCATAAAGCAAAGTGTAGCGTAATGCATTGAGAAGGTAAACTATACACATAGAACAAATTGTAAACCATTAATTATTGTTGTGAATAAGTAAATCTACATAATTTTTTTTCAGCTTAATATTTCAGATTATGATATATCTAACTCCAGCATTATTAACTTTCATACTTCTCTTTTTTAATTCTTACCATTAATTTGAACAATTATCCGTAATAATGCTTATATATGTTTGAAAACATGTTCTTTATATAAATGCAGTAATGATCACGAAAATGCAATATATATCACATAGTTAAAGATGAAAGTTTAAAAAAATAAAATATGCATGTATTTCCACTGCACTATTACATCCTTGAAATGCATTCCAGGTTATTCAGTCATCATCTAGTTCGGTTTATATTGGACATACCAGATTCTTTTATGCACATAATTTTGCTTAACAATAACCTTATTAAATTAAGAGGATTAATTTAATTTTTTTTCCCTTGTTCAAGTGTGAAAACAGTTTTCATGTGGGTAAACAAAGAAACGTAATCCTGAATGTCATAACCGCAGGGAAACGAGATTTGTAACAAGCGTTTCTATGGCTTTTCACAATGTTATGCAATTGCTTAAATTTCAGAAAGAGACCAATCAAATACAACAGTGTAATGTTAATTGAATTTGTTTGTATTTATTCCATGAAAAGTTAAATCATAAAATAATTTTGTGCAATTTGAACTCTGCCTATAACCAGTGGTTTCAAACTGGTGGCCCCCGAATCAATTTTATATGATCAGCGAATGAATTTCAGATTTCTATGTTATACTTATTTGAAGTTTGAGTTCACCTTACATTCATTACTATTAAACATGAACATGACTAACGTGTCAGAAAAATCTATAAATATAAACATTACTCAAAGATTTGAAGATACACATTAATTAACTTTTATTCTTTTTTCGTGGAAAAATAAATAAACTTCTGCTCATGTTTTGGCTAATCGTTCAGATTTTTTACTGATATACCCAACTTTTAATACACAAAATCCTCTATATAAAGAAATCATTGAAATATGCTTGACGTAGAAAAATAGCAGAATAATGTTTGTTTAATATTTTATACTAACTTATTAGTATTTCAAAGTCTGATTATCATTTTATTGCATTTTTAATAATTATTTTTAAATATAAATTTGATTATGAGGGGTTAAAAAACTGCTTTTAAGATACATGGTGTCTTTCAGTGGCCTAAGGTCGTTTTGGAGTCAAGCCCCAGCTGATGGGTTTCCCTCTCTTTAAGCAAATATACAAGATGCAACACACACACACACACACACACACAAAAAAAAAAAAAAAAAAAAAAAGAGAGATACAGGTCTAATAAATCATTGCACTTACAGAATCAGTTCTCCGTGATATTATCACCTTCAAAGTAGTTCCCTTCAGCATTCACATATTTCTGCATTCAGTATTGCCATTGCTGGTAACAGATGTGGAACGAGGTTTTTAGAAGGCTTTCAGGAGATTTTCTGTTTTTTCCTGAACCTCTTCAGCTGATGTAAAATGAGTTCTCTTTATGTAAGATTTAATTTTAGGAAATTAAAAAAAAAAAAAAAAAAATTGCATGGAGCCACATTAAGTGAATAAGGAGGATGCTCCATCACAGTAATATTTTTGCTGGTCAGAAACTGCTTGACAGATATGGCTGTGTGTGCGGGAGCACTGTTTTGGTACAACAGCATTCATCACTCCACAATTATGGCCTTTTTTTTTTCTAATTTTTTCACAAAGTCTTTTTAGTACTTCAATGTAGTAGTATTGATTAACAGTCTGACCACTAGGAACTCATTCAATCATGATGAACGTGCTGGATGCCTCTCTGGGTGCCCAGCATGTTCATCATCTTCCACACTCTCCCTTCCCCCTGAAACCGCTTATGCGATTCAAACACACATGCATGAGACAAAGTTTCATCTCCATAAGCCTCGGTTAACATTTTTAATTTGTCAATGGCTGATTTCACAAGTTTCACAAGTAACTTGATGTTGATTCGCTGTTCGGTTTTTACAATAGACATTTTCCCAGCAGAATGCAGTTCCACATGTTCACTCAATGATGCAGTACTCCCCACTGGCATGGTCAAGTCAAAACTGGCTGCATGGATAGAGGAGGTATGTGGCATGACATCACCAAAACAGTTGTTGCCAACTCCGCTCTGTTTTCAAAGCTACACACTTAGTCTCTTTTTTTTTTTTTTTGTGTGTGTGTGTATCACACCTCGTATATATTCGGTATTAGAAGTAGAATTAATTCATTTAGAAATTAATTCCTATTTGTTATGGCCAGACTCCCATATATTTAACTATTAAGTAGATAATTAAAAAAATTCATTCTAATTAGAAATTATCTGGAAATATGGAGCGATAAGTTAAAAAAAGAGCATATTTTATTCTATAAAAATATGCTCTTATATGCTTATTCTAAAAAAATAAAATTATTTTATTCTGATTAGAAGTGTAGTTAATTTATTTAAGTCTATAATTAAAAATTTTAAACACTTTTTAATTAATTTATTTAGAAATGTAAGTCATAAGTATGGAAAAGGAGCATATTTTGTAATTTTCTTGTATAAAAATAAAATTATCTTATTCTAATTACAGGTTAATTAATTTATTTAGAAAATAATTAAACAGCAAATTCAAAACATCTACTAACAAAGTCATGTGATCAGCACAAAGATTTATCTGCAAAGTCACGACACCCAACGCAATGTAACTACATATAGAAAGAAAATATCCTTTTCCCTTAGTTAACATCTGAGCTAGCAACCTAAACATTCTTCCCACTGTTTGGCGCCATTTCAGGAACCTTGCCAAGTGCCTGTTATCTGAGTATCCCAGTTTTCACATCATGCATAAAAAGATTTAACTTACCTTTGCCACATCGATTGCATGTAGTTCTACGTGCAAAATTCACATTGCTACACCTATTAAAAAAAAAAAAAAAAAAAAAAGGAAACAAACTTAAAAAACAATCTAATGAAATGAACAATTTACATCCTCATGCATATTTATATTTTCCATCTGAAGACAGGGATAAAGGACATTTCATAACTTAGTGTTTAGTTTGTAACATGTTATGACACAGTACAAATGAATTTTATTTTTTAATGGTTAGAAATCAAATGCACAGCATTAGTTAAAAAATGTCAACACTGATAATGAATTTTGACTTTCATGAAGTTCAGATGACAGAATATATATCACTAACCACACATAGAGTATACACGACAATCCAAAAGTAAACACTCATTTACTCAAAAAATATCACAGCAGCAGGATGTGGTTTTCGTAGAAACACATGGGATTTGAAATACTTTTTCATTATGCATCAGTCAAATATTCTGGCATGTTTGTGCGCATGTGTACACACACACAGTACCTTTCCATCAATAAGGTTCATACATGTACATACCCATACAAGAAAATGCACAGCATAGGCACAATGGAAAAGTACCTAAATAAAGAAGATTTTATCGCAAGTTAGAATTCTAGTACTTATGCATTAGCACAACCACCTTGATTATTTTTTACAGATGCAAAGTTACTTACTGGGTGCAAGTTGATGCTTTTTACAACTTCTTTAAGAAAAAAATTCCGAAACTAAAATATATTTATTATAAACTGGCAAATATTATCAACTATAAAAAGAAAACACACTTTAGGAATTTCATATACAAATTTGAATTATTAAATAAGGATTATACGATGCATTAAATAAATAATACACTGCTCAACATTGAAAATACAACACCAAAAAGGAATGATCAGAAAGTGATGAAATTTGGACAAAAGACAGAGGCAGCAATAAGTGATCTTTATTTCAAAATGATAGTCAGAATACAGAGCGAGAACGGCGTCGGCTCAGTAGGATGTACGACCACCGCGGACAGTGATGCACGAAGAAACACATCTAGGTATAGAGTCAATAAGAGTGTGGATGGTGTCTTGAGGGAAGGCTCTCCATTCCCTTTCAACCATTCGCCACAGTTCGTCTTCTGAATGAGGCAGGGGCAGAGTATGCAAATGGCATCCAATCCCATCCCACACATGTTCGATTGGTGACAGGTCAGGAGAACATGGTGGCCAGGGAAGCATCTGTATACCTTGCACAGCATGTTGGCAGATGCGAGCACTTTGTGGTCAGGCGTTATCCTGCTGAAAAATTGCATTAGGCAGCCCCTGAAGGTAGGGGATTGCCACCGGCCGCAGAACATTATCCAAGTATTGTTGGGCCGTCATAGTGCCCTGACTACGAACTAGAGGTGACCTGGAATCGTAGGCAATAGCGCCCCAAACCATTATGCCCCGTTGTCGCGCGGTGGGGCATTCCACAGTTACTGCCGGATTAGATCTGTCAACACCACACACGTATGCGGCGACTGTCACTGGATAAACAGAAGCGTGACTCATCTGAGAACACAATGTTTCACCATTCTCTCATCCACATTGCTCCAGTCCGGCACCATTCTAAACGTTGGTGTCTATGCTGTGGGGTCAATGGCAGTCTTCTTGACGGATGCCGTGAGTGCAGGCCACGTTCAACCAATCGACAGGAAATGGTTCTGGTCGACACAGGAACGTCAAGGGTATCTTGCACATGCTGCAGAATTGTGGTTCAAGTGACTTGCGGGACCGCCACACCTTGTCGGCGGTTGCGTCGATCCACGTGTGCTGACGTGACTCTGGCTGCACCTGCACCCCTCCTTCTTCCCACCATGTTTGCCACAGCCAATGCACTGGGCTCGCATCCATGTGGGTTTCAGCTGCGATTTGACATAAGGACCAACCCGCCCTTCTCAGTCCGATCACCATACCTCTCGTAAAATCGTCTATCTGCTGGAAGTGCCTTCGTTGACGGCGGCCTGGCATTCTCTCCTATTACACGTATCCTCCGGGATAAAAACCAACTTTCTTTGATAATTCGACTGGCAGAAATAACAACACGAATATCGCCCATTCTGTACGTTCCTTGGTGTTGCAAAAACAAATCTTTTTGTTCTCCATGTACACAGAGATTTGTTTTTGCTTAAGAAAAAATTGAGAGAGTTGTGTAAACGTGCACAACCTCAGCATTATATCTACCAAAAGCATCTCATGGTTCCTTTTAGCAGTTAGCCTATATTTTAGGGTGTCCCTTGAATTATCGCCAAGTTGTTATTTCATTTATGGTAACCCTATTCTGACATGATTGTGGTTAATGTAATTGATGGAAAAATATTTGTTGGATGTTAGTTAGGAAGTGTGTTGCGTACTGTGTGCTTTGCATCGTAAAATGGCTGCTGGTAGTAAACTGAGTCTTTAGTGGTATAGAACAAGAAAGCGGAAGATTGAGTCACTTTTTTGGAAGTGGTTGAGGACAGAAGAAAAGAAACTTTGTTGGATGTAAATCAAGGGAATTAGTGTCCTATTTGTATGAAGGAAATGCTTATGGTCAAATGTCAAGATTGTTCAGAATGGGTTTGTCGCAAGAAAAGTTCAAATGCTCACCACATAAAGTGCTCCATCAAAAAGGGAACATGGTTTGACAAAAGTTTTAGGATGCTGTTAAGGAATTGTGTGTGCCAAAGACTGAAGACACAGAAATGTCTAAGTAAGGTAAGTGGATATTTCTTTTGTGTACATATATTTTGTGTTCCTTTGTAGATATAATAAGATGTATTTCCTGCTTTATGTTATTTCATCGTTTGATTTAAAATGTAGTTTATCGAGATTATATATTTTTTTGCTTGACTCTAGTGTATAATTGGGTGCTCCTTCGACTTTTACGTGAAAATAGATTGATGTGTACAAGTCAAGTCAATGCACAATGCAAGTTTGTGCAATTCTCTGATGTTTTTCCAAGTGAAAATAGATTGATGAGTAGATGGACACCGAGTTCATGTAATTATTTGATTTGCTATTTTGTCATCTTGTCTTGCTATTCAATTTCCAAAAATCACCAAGGAAAACCCTTATATATATTTTCACCCCTTTAGCTATTATGCGTAAAAAACTACTCTTAGAGAGATGTTACTGCAGTTTTTTACAATGCTAGAAATTCCATAAGCTTATATTTTAAAATTGAGTTCAAGGTGAAAAATGTAACATTTTGTATATAAAAACATCTGGAACTAGGAATACAAAAAGAATACATAAGAAAATGGTGAACTGATTGATTGATGCATTGTTAAAAGGCAGCTGCGAAAGTTTGGCACTTGGAAAATTTGGCGAGTTTTAATATAGTAGTTGTAAAAACATGCAAAGTATCCAACTCTGAGAATTAGGTGATGCTTCTGCTGTGTCAGAAGTTCCTACAATGGCTCAGCACAGTTTGTACACCATTCTGCATAGTATTGTGTCACATACAACATCCATCCTCATGAATAAGGGCTGGCATATGGAACATTTGTAATCTTACATGTGTCGCAAACTTCTGATAAGCACCACCTACTGATGAGAAATGTAAACTATTCTGCCAATAAAGATTTTCATTATTAAAATGATTAAATTTTTTTAAACAGAACTTTTTATGTGCATTTCACTGAAAAATGCATCGTCTTAATATCTTTCAAATTATTGAGTTTTCACCATCCAAAAGTAAATTTTGCATTCACTGTGTACATAAGGCTGTGTTCAGACAGGGGCATAAAGGGCATAAGTGGTTAAAGCTGAGCTGCATTGCCAAGGCAACCAGTCTGTGCTACATCACATAATCTGGTTTAAGGTTCGTGGCACAAGGTTCCAAGCTTTCAACTTTACGCCGAGTTTGGGATAAGCGTCAACAAACCAGAGCGAAGCAAAAACGAGGCGGCTTTCTTTAGACGATTTCGCTGTCACATTGAAGGTAACATTTTTTTTTTTTAAATATAGAGTACATTGTATGCGAATGAGTTGTAATCATATCCGAACGAAATAATGAATTGATCTTGCAAGAAATCTATGATGATGACATACATTTTTAATAAGTTTGCACAATAAATTGAAAAATATGGATGAAACTCGTAAAGCGAAAATTAAGCTCAGGATTATGCACGATGTGTATGATCCTGTGGATGATTGATCTCATCCATTATTTTTCATTTTATCATGAAAATTCTTTAAAAAATGCCATGCTTACAAAAATTTTATTTTTTCTGTGTAAATTATTATTACTTTCTTTCTGTTTATTATTTTTTTTATAAATTATTACTATCATTTTCTTCCTGTTTATTTTTGTACTTAAGAATAAATTTATTGAAAAAGCTGGAAATATTGTATTGCTATTTGCTTCAAATGCTGATTTTCTTTCCAAACAAACCTCATGAATTAATTTTACTAAAACACCAAATCAATATAAAAAATCTGCTGCTTTTTTTTACAGTTAAAATATTACTTTAAAGAAAAAGAAAAAATTATTTTTACTTATTTAAGAATAGTCAATTCAATGGTGTAAGTAATAAAAGATGTTCTTTTGAGAAAACGCTCTTATGAATTCCAAGAAGGAAAAAATGAAGTGAGATATCCTTAAAACAACAGTCTAGACAGTTTTGTCTCCTGCGGATGTTCTGTTCTGTTTTTTAATTACGTTCTCCATAAAAGGAATTTACTTTTAATGAAACTGAACAGCAAACATAATTCATAACATGAACTATAATTTAATGAATACTATTTGTTATTATTATCCACTCTTTATTACTATCATTTGAATGGAATTTTGATAATTAAATTTATGCAATTTCTCTGGTAGAAATTCCTGGATAACATGAATGTTTATAATTTTGTTGTATATGAAGACTTGGGTACCTAAGATTTGTCAATGTGAAATTACTTTTGAGATATTGTTTGTAAATAGAAATGTCAGCATATGTTGAAATTAAACTCTTTATGGTGCTTTAATATGGCATGTCTGTCAGTGAGTGAACAATTGTCATAATCTGTCAGCAAATGAAAAATCATTAAAAATAAT